CTTGTCCCCCCCCCCATCCAATAACACACACACGTCTCCCCCATGCCCTCATTACCCCCCAGCCCGAGTGGCGTGAGGTCCCGTTTGACGGTGCCCCCAGCCGCTCCGGCCCCCGCGGTGACCGCTGGATGCAGGCCATCATAGAGGCGCCCGGCCCCAACGCTCAGCTGCAGTTTTACGCCAAGGGGCCGCGCCCCGACATAAACGATGAATGGGGGCCCTCGTCAAGCCGCCGCGATGGCGCCTGGGGAGGCAGCGGCAACGAGGGGGCCCGGCGCGGGCGCGGCGCAATCAACAGCGACGACGGCGCCGACGGGGTGGCGGAGGATCGGCCGGCGACGGGCGGCGCCGGCGGTGGGCCGGGGCACTACACGCTGCCTTGGCCCAGTGGCTGGAAGCTTGAGCGCGGGGCCGTCTCAAAGTTCCTGCGCGCGCTGAGGGGGCCCATCATGCTGGTGCGCCGCTGGCCGTCGGCGGGTGTGGGGGGCCGTAGTGGGCCGTAGTGGCGCTCACTGGGTGGCGCCGCCCTGTGGCCCGTGCCGCTCCATTGCCTGCGCCACACCATGTCGCATGCACCTGCGGCCTGTAGCCTGCGGCCTGCACCCCCCGTCAAGCCCAACCTGGAGCCCTCCTCATCGACGCAGCTGCGCCCTGGCACCCCCCTGTTGTGGACTGCAGTGCAGTGACGTTGACGGGACATTTGTGACAGACAAGCAGGGTGATGAGTGGGGCAACACGCGCATCAAAGACTTCAAGACCTACTGGTGGGGGCAGGAGACGTGCGAGCTGGGACAAGAACGTGGGGAGACACATCCAAGCTGTGTGCCTTCAACTGATGCTCCAGCCATGATGGCGTTGCAGCCACATGCAGGGGTGGTGCAGGCTGAGCACGAGGGCCGGCCAACGCCGCTGCAACGTCCCACTGTGTGCAGGGAGGACACTGCATCCCTGGGCGGCAGCGTGCTGGTGCTCAACACTGGCCGCAGCAAGGGGAACCTGATGTCGCTGCTGCGCGACAAGGAGGAGGTCATTGCGGTGCCCGATGTCATCATCACTGCCGTGGGCACCAAGGTGGGCGGGCACATTTGCACGAGGGGGGGGGGGTGGCCGGCAGGATGGGGGAACTTAGGAAGGTTGAATGTACGCTTGATTGTACAACAATCTGAAGGAGGCTGTTTTGGCAAGCAAACGCTGGGGCATTTGCACGACGCCAGCTGCGGTTGTTGTCGCCGCCCCTGCTGGGCCGCCATTGCCAGCCCTCTCCCCTGCCCCCAACCTCTGATGACCTGTGCCTTTGCGTGACACTGCCAGCTCCCTTAGCAAGCACCCTTTCCACCCATGCACCCACCCAACCACCCGCCTGCCAACCTCTCCCCCTTGGACTCAGATCTGGCACCGCCGCTCCACGCACCGCGCTTTTGGTGGCTGCACTGCGGAGGACTACGAGGAGGACCTGGCCTGGACACAGAGGCTGGACCACGGCTGGGACCTGGGGGCGGCGCGCCAGGTGGCGGAAGAGGTGGGCACGCAGCATGAGCATGCGCGGCGCCCAAGACCCCTGCTTGAGCATGGGCACTGGGGTGGCATGTGGCTGTTTGAGCCAAGGAGATGGCATGGTCCACCCCCACCACCCATGCACGCCCTGGTTGCGATGCTGGCCGCAGCTTGATTCAGATCAATACACCCCTTGGTCAACCAACTCCACCCCGTCACAGTCCTGATCAGCTTAGTGAATGTTATACTGCCCTGCCCCTTCACCCTTGTAATTGCATCAGCACATGGCCAAGTACAACAAGGGGCAGGACACGCGGGCCAGTTGGCTTGACAACGGCACGGAGCACCCCCACCGCATTGCCCTGAGCGTGAGGGTGGACATCGTGGCCGACATCGTGAGGGACATGGAAGCTGCGGTGGGCCGCAGCAGCGACGGCAAGAGGGGCTTCAAGGTGGGCGGTGCGCACATCGGGGGCGGCGCAATTGTGAAACCCTCTACATCTGAGCCCTCCTCATCAACGATTACCAGCTAAACAGCACCCAAAGGGAGCTGTCGCACTGCAGGGTGGGTGTAACGATGCCAGATCTGGCACTGACGCTTGGCAGATGACCTCGTTCGACCCTGACACAGAACCTTGTCGGCACAGGCGAGGGCTTCTTGACCCTCCCTTGGCCCCTCTCCCACCCTCTGGTCACCCGCAACCCCCACCCCCCGCACAAACACACACACACACACACACACACACACACACACACACACACACACTTGTGATGGCACCCCAGGGCCACATCATTGCGAGTGGCGCTGGCGAGTGGCGCTACCTGGATGTGGTGGCGGAGCGCGGGGGGAAGCTGGAGGCCATAGAGTGGGTGCGCGCGCTCTACGGCATCCCGGCAGGCCGCTGCATGACCGCGGGAGACAGCTTCAACGACGTCGAGATGTTCAAGGCGCGCCGCTCACTGGGGCGGGGTGGTGGGCAGGGGGGGCTGTGCGACCCAGGTCCTATCATGTCAATCGTGTCGCGACTTGACTGTCCATTGCAGGGAGTTGAGAGGATGCTTTTGGAGCTGTCACTGGTGTCTTGTCTGGTAGTACACCCCTGGGTTTGTCATTGGAGCAGACAGCCCAGCTCTCATCCACCTGACCCCGTTACCCCCTCCCCCAAGTACACACATGTAAGCCGCCTCCCTGCCTCCACCATGCGCAGGGCACCAGCCCGGCCGTTATTGTGGGCAACGCGCAGACCGAGCTGCTGACCTGGTACAACCAGTACAGAGACGACCCCCCGGGGCGCATCGTGCTGGCGCGCGCACCAGACGCCAGCGGTGTCATCGAGGGCTTGGCTCGCCACGGCCTGCTGTGACGCGACGCAAGGTCCCGCAGGGCGGCACGCGTCTCCGCACGATTGTGATTCTGTTTCTCTGCGTCATGTTTGTACGCAGTGATTGCGATGGGCGCTCTCAATTCCTTGAGGGTGCCATCCTTGGTCATTGCTTGTGGTCTTGCGCGCTTTGTGGCGGGCTGTTCTTTGGGAAGGCAAGGGGATCGTGCCATTGCACCGCGTCCACTTCGTGTGAAACCTCAAATCTTGGTCCTGCTAGTCTGCCAAGGCTTGCCCAGCGGTGTGACGTGCTGCCACAAGCACATGCACGCAACATTTCAGACCTTTCTATCGCCGTCTTGAGCGTGTGTTGTGCGTGCTGGGCCACACTGAGCTGTGCCAAGTGCACTCCACTGAAGTGCTGGCAAGGGCATCGTACACGCCACGCCACATAGCTGCGCCGCAATGGGGTCCATCCATCCTTTCCATACATCGTTTGCATGCGCTGCCTTGAAACTGGACCACCCGACTGTCTGTGACTGCTTGCTGCGCCTGGCTCCTTTGTGCAATCTTGGTGTGCGGCTTGTGCAGTGAATTGCAATGCCTGCCCCGTGCCTGGCCGCGCACCTGATCGAGGCGCTTGGGTTTTGCGCCGTTTCGCCCTTGCCATTATTACACTGCGTCATCAAGCCGTCAACAGCAAGGTCAGTCGATGTGTAATTGTCAACTGATGCAATGGGGTGCAGCGCAAAAAGCACATCTGCAGATCGGCAGTATGATGGGAAAAAAGGTGTTTGCGTCTTGGTAGGGCAAGGGCAAGCCACGCCCAGGGGTCCAATGGCCAACCACTCGGAGGAAACTTGACACAGGCGTCAGCCACAGTAAAACGGAAGCTGGCACGCACATTCCCAGAGCATGCGCAGACCTGAATGCTAGCAATGACTCAACTTGGGCTGCACGCCAGCCATGCCTGGGGTCGGGCTCTGACCAGAGTTAGACTTCACCTCATGCCTGGCCATTGCAAAGCGGATGCTTTAACCAGCGCCAGGCGTCCTGGGCAGAACTCACAAAGCCTTCACTGGAAACTGCAGCCCAGCTGACAGCCCCATTAGCCGCGCACGAGGGCCGACCCCAGGCGGCCACGCCCCAGCCCGCCCGCGGCCCGTGGGTGTCAGCTGCCCTTCTTCGTGGCGGCGGGCTGCGGCCCCATGGCCTTGAGATCGTACTCCACCAGCCCCGCGGCGGCGTTGCGCAGCTGCAGCCAGTTGCAGGTCTGCTTGGTGGCGACGCCCGGCAGCGACAGCAGCCCCAGCACCGCCACCGCAGGCACGCCGCCAAGCCGCTGCAGCGCCGCCAGCGGCGGCAGCGCCACGACCAGCTGCTGCGGAATCCGCTGCAGCAGTGCGGGGCTGACGCGTATGAGTCCCAACGCCTGGAAGCGCGGCCAGGCCAGCATGTAGAGGCAAAGGTAGGCCACCTCGCAGCAGATGCAGCAGAAGCCCATGAACAGGCGGTTGCTGTAGTAGAACCGCACCATCATGCTGCGGCTGCGTACGTCCTGAGGGGGCACGGGCGGGGCAGGGGGAGACGGGACAGGGGAGGGGAGGGGAGGTGGTCCAGGACTGCGACAGGTAAACAGGCCGCGCCGCCATGTGCTCACGTCGCTTCGTTGCTAGCCCAAGAACTTAGGCATCACCTCCTTCCCCGACTTGCCGTATTATGGGATAGTCTCAATCTCCGCGTGGGACCCCTCTGCCGCTGCCTTTCAAAAGCCACCGCCCCCACCACGCAGCATCCCTCCTCCATGCAAACCTTGTGCGTGGAGCTGCCAGCCAGCATGGTGGAGTACATCTGGAACCAGTGGCTGCTGATGTCCAGCATGAGAAGCACCAGGAACAACAGGCTCCCTTCCGGGTAGAACGCGCACAGTATGGCCAGCAGCCCCGTCGTCGCGACACGGTCTGTCACCATGTCCAGCAGCGCACCCAGGGTAGATGACTGCCCAAACGTGCGCGCCGCGCGACCGTCCAGCTCGTCACATACAAAACTGCAGGGCGACCAGGGGGCGTCGAGCAGGTTTGAAGGTGTATGAGCAGCAGCGCTTTGAATATCTGCGACGCGTGGGGTCGCGCTGCTGCTCGAGTCCTGTGCGGTTTGAACCTGCTCGCGTCACAACCCAGGCCGCGCCGCCTCACCCAAAAAAATAGAGCGCTACACAGGCGATCGGGTGCTTGAAGGCAATGTGGAAGGAGTACAGGGTCGCGGCGATGCGCGCGTATCCTGCGCGGCGGGTGGTGTCCATATGCAGCGGGCGCATGTGTAGTTTGGATGTGTCCAGCGCTGCGTTGCGGTGGCGCGCATGCCCAGTCCTACAGGCACCACAGACCTATCAAATTTGGTATGTAGATGTAGACGTTTCGATGGCGTTCAAAGAAACCAGCCATTTCTGCGTTGATGGCGGGCTAGCTAGCTCTGATCCAACGCCCGCCAGTCGTCCGGACCTGCCCAAACAGAACAAACCAATCAATGCTAATCGAGGACGACGATCTCGTCGCTGCGATCTGACCGCTGAATGTTGCCTGGTGTGACACAGCGACGGGCCGATAGCGTGTGTGTCGTGCAGCCCTCACTCAAACATATGTGTAATGAATGTCAACATCAAATCGTCCGATAATGTACTCCACACACTATCATGCCTGTGGTGAACTGGGTGAACTGGAAAAACCACGACATGCGACACGAACGGGCACATGCAGCATAATGCACCACCGCGAGAGGGGAGAGGACGTCTGTGGGGGTGGCTCCCACTGACAGATCAAGCTGCGTCCAAGCGCTTTTGTGCATACTGTTACTTGCCACATTTGCTGGTTGCGGCCAGCCCCTCTCAATCCGGTACTACAGTACTTGGATAGATACGTAGTCGTCACTGCTTGCTGTTCAGGCGTCATTCCATACGGTACAATTCCAAAGCGACCCCAGCTTGAGCAGCAGTGCAGATTGAGCGGGATGCTTAATCAAGAGGGACACATTCACGCTCGCGCAGTTGCATACACTACCTTCCTCAACACATGCGGTCAACGACCAAGTCGCTTCAGTGCCACCCTAATTGATGTATGCGAGGAAAGGGTGTACGCGGCCACGAGGCTCTTCCTCGATCTGTGATACTGCGCAACATCGGCACTGCTCCTGCGGGCCTGCGTGCAGGGACACATGCCCCCCATCTCTGGCTGAAGTGTGGCATGCTATCATGGAGATCGACCAAGCGCCTGCTTCCTTAAGCGCTTATACGTTGAGCAGTTCTCATATGTTCAGCTGCGCTTTGATTATGCAGGGGTGGGCAACGAACAGCAGAGTGACGCTGTTTTGATTGTGTCCCGTGTTCAGATAGCTAAAGGCGCTGTTTGCAACACGGACGTTCCCCGCAACGGCACAGCATGGAATTGCACAAGGCACATCGTGTGCAAATGTGCAAGTGCACTCAGCTGGTCTGCCTGACAGGGGTGTGTCTGGTGCATACAGTCATGGTCAAGGACAGCGACTGTACACGCAACCACAGTCAACATGGTTGCCCGCCATGGTTGCCTGCCACAGGGCTCCCACGTTGAGTGATTGAATGCAGCAAAATTGATGAAGTTACGTGCACAAACAAGTTGCCAAAGAAGCCACTCGTAGAACGGTCCAGGCGAGCCAGGGAGCCTAGCATGCAACCCAGTTTGGCCTCCCTACCCGCCACCCACCGAATGCACATGCCATTGGCCCTGATTGCGCCCTTGAGAATTTCAATCCCTTCATTCTTTGTTGTATTTGAGGCTGTATTTATACGGCGCAAGTGGTGCCCCGCACACACTGCGACCAACACTCGCCATGGCTCTTTCCAGAGCAGCCGGTGCTGCCAGCGGGCAGCGCACTGCTCTGCGCAGTAGGCATGGCGTACGCCCATTCAGCGGCAGCCGGGTCGGGCCCGGGCGCGTGGTGGCAAGGGCCGCAGAGGAGGACGAGGCTGCTGCCGAGGCCCCGCAGCCAGCTGTGGAGGCGGAAAGTTTCAGCTTCAACTACAGCGAGTGAGTATAGCATCGGCTGAAACTGTTTAAGCCTCGATCGGTCGGCCGATTTTCGGACTGGGGTGTGTGGGCGTCCTGCGGGGGCCGCTGCACGAATGGATCAGCTCGGCGATGCAAAGCAGGTTCTCAAAGCCTTTTGCGCCGGGGTCCTGGCTAAATGGCCATCGCGCGCGCGGGCACGCATGTGGGCTGTGGTGCTCTGCCGCCGCTTGGGTGGCGTGACAGCATGCATGCTTCTCGGCGCATGCCCGAGGCCTCTTGCAACCTGCACGCGTGCAGCCAATCACCAATGGTGGTTGTGGGTCAGCAGTCGCATGCCGTACGCCCCTCTGCAGTCTCGCGCCCTGCCGGCTGCCATCCTGTGCAGCAGGGACGGTCCCGATTTGGCCGGGGCCTGCAGCACCTGCTCGCGTATCGCCCGCGCCAACCCGCCACCTCACACCCATTGGCTCCCCAGGGCGCGTCGCGGCAACTCGTACGAGGCGTCGGACGTGCAGGCGGCCCTGGACTACTACAGCGGCGGCGCGGGCGACATGCCCTACGAGGCCGACTTTGCCGTGAACCGCTTTGGCACTGAGGACGCCGCCTTCTTCGACGACATCGACAACAACGAGGGCTACGCCGCCAGCGAGTACCTCTCCGTCGGTATCGAGGAGGCGGCCCCCAAGACCAAGCAGCGCGGCGCGCGCGACGAGGACGAGGCGTTTGAGGAGGCGGTCGAGGAGTTTGACCAGGAGCGCGCCGCCAGCGCCGCGTTTGAGGGCGTGGAGGTGCTGGATGAGGACCTGCTGGACGACGTCGACGCCGCGGACGCCCCCTGGTCCTGGGACGCGGGCGCTACTGCTGCCGCGCCCACCGCCGCGGCAGGCGCTGCGGGCGACGCCGAGGAGGACTCCATCCTGGCGCAGCTGGCAACGATCGACTTTGAGGCCCTGAAGGACGAGGACGTGGAGCAGCGCGAGCTGGCCAGCATGGTGGTTGACGCGCTGGGCGACGACCTGGACCTGGTGGCGCTGGCCGACAGCGAGGGCGAGGTGGCTGCGGGCCAGGAGCTCAGCCAGGTGGGCGGCCCGAGGAGGAGGCGGGGCATGACGATGTGTGGCTGATTGCAGGCGGGGCGGGGGGGGAGCTGATGTTGGGCTCCATCTGAGCGTCATGCTTGGCCAGAGTTGGCATTGTGGCTGATCACCCTTCACCAAGGCAATCGCATCCAATCCATTCACACACAACCACACAGGCCGAGGAGGCCCAGGTGGACGAGGTGCTGGCGCTGGACGCCGCCGAGCCCACCCCCGAGCTGGACCCGGCCGTCGCCGCCGCCCTGGCGGAGCTGGAGGGCGAGGAGCAGGCCGCGGCTGATGCACCGCTGCCGGCCGCCGACGTGGAGGCCTACCTGGCCGCTCTGCGCGCCATCGACCCCGCGACCGCCGGCGGCAGCGCCGCCGCGCTGGGCGAGGACGTGCGCAAGGAGGCGGTCATCGTGCCCGAGGGCGAGGCGGCGCCGCTGCCCGACCTGTCGTACCCCGAGCTGCCCGCGGACGTGCTGGCTTCCGACGCGTCGCTGTTCCAGTCGGCGCTGGCTGCTGGCGACGACGCCGAGACTGACGCGGTGCTGGCGGCGTTCAGCGCTGAGCTGGCGGAGCTGGAGGCCATCCAGGTGGCCGACTACAACAAGTGAGTGGTGGTGAATTTCTAGTGCTGCTCGATCAGTGCAAGGTTGCCGAATGTGGTGACGCCGGGCAGCTGGGCGGGTTGGGACCATTGTGATTTCGAAAACCACTGAGGTAGGCAGGGTTGGCTGGCAGGTCTGATGAATTGCGGGCCCCACAGCCATAACGCCAATCTGTGTTGAACCCCTGCTTTTGCCCTCCCTAATCACTGGACCCGCAACCCCACCCTCGCCCCCCCCCCCAGCCCCCTGGGCAGTGCCGCCATGTTCCCCGAGGAGGCTGACCTGGAGACCTACGAGTCCATCCTGGACGCCACCGCGGAGTACATGGCCGCCACCGGGGACGAGGTGGGCGCGCCCTTGCGAGGCTGGAGGGTGGAATTGAGGTCTTTTGGGGAGGGAAGGGGGCCAGGGTGCGGGCTGGCCCGGTGCGTCTGCCTCAGGAGGGCCACAGCCCTGGGCCCAAATGCCAAGAATTTGGGTCCGAAGGCGGTCCTGCAGGTGGCTGCCCCTCGTGGGCGCGGCTGCGTTTTTCTGTCCTTATGCCATTGTTGCTGGCACCCCTACATTGTCCTGAAGTACGCCCTGCTTGCGCCCCCAGACCACTGGCGAGCTGTTTGAGGACGGCGCTGACGACGACGCGGCCATCAACCCCTACGACGACCTGGACGCGTCCCTGGTGGCGCGCGGCCCCCTGGTGGAGCTGGAGGAGGACGACAGCAACTTCCAGGTGGGGTGGGGAGTGATTGGTGGGGGGGGTGGGTGCATGTGTCCTGTGGGGTTCAAGGGGCCTTCGTGGGTATCGCGATTCACAAGGCATTTTGTGAAATAGCGTCAGTGGCCACTGTTATGCCAGTAGTTGGCCGCTCACGTATCTGCACTCCCCTCCCCTCCCCTCCCCCCCCCCC